TACAATTGAATCAATTGAACTGTAGAGTTCATTAACCTCAAGTAATGAGGCGTGTATTTGGCTTTTCGCCTACTTATCACAGAAGCGCTCGCGTGCTCCCCCAACCGCTTGTTAAAGGACACTTAATAATCCTGCCTCTGCGACTTCGGTCGAACAAATGGATGGTTTAGCGACTTCATGGAACAATGCAAATGTAGGAAACATATTCAATAGAACAGCTTAAAGTTCAGTAACTTATACTCGACGTCCGCATAGTTTCGGAAGCGACTCGTCAACCATTGCAATTTTTTAGGGTGATAACGGCCAGTGCGTCACACGATAGGCCTTTTCGCATGGAGAAAAGAAGGGACATGCGCTTTTGACGGCACATCAACGTTTGCTAGCGACAATTAGCGGACAAGCACGTCCAAATTGGAGATTGGATCTCTGGACACGTTGACGTAATCTGTTCAGCTTCCAAAAACGGCTCAAGAAAAACCGAAAACAGCAAACGTAGTCCATGGAATACTGAGGTTTCCTAGTAACTACATCAGATTGTTAGAGTGACCAGTCCGCACGACAACATATTTATCACTAACACTGCATAGATTACATAGAAAACCGTCGAATCTTCTGCGATGTCAAGAAGAACCAAAACTGTATGCAAAAAATGACCAACTGCAATTCGTCCACGAATAAAAGACCACCTTAAAAAGGAGCAACAAACGAACATTTTAAACACACTTGATGTCAAAGAAGCTTACCCTTGGACACAGTAATATACTTAGGCATTAAAAACTGTCGAGTTCAGGTTACCTATGAAGTAAGCAGAGCTCGCCACCTGTTGAGGCTGATGCGAGGGTGCCTGTTGGTGTTGACCGTATGCGAGTGGAGGCGGCTGTTGATGCAGATGGCCCTGGGAACTGGATGCGTGATTAGTAGGCGCGGTAGTAGTGGAGGCTGTTTCATATGGGTGAAAGACGGGGGGAAAATCGGGTTGCCGCCTCGCCTTGCTCTCCACCTGATCGAGTGCCGGGTGAGTTCCCAGCACAGGAGGATTACCCATATGAAGCGTGTTGGGTTCCGACTGAGAC